CCCATTCAACTCAATTAATGGGCTAAGACCAAACAATATCTAACAGTGAGCAAGAAGCTTCAAGAAAAAGAAATGAAACTTGCCTTTAGAGAGAGAGGAAAGAAGAAGGGAGAGGGGACAGGCATGGCAAGAGGATTAAAGCAGCAAACAAAATATGTAAATCAATGGGTCAGTAACTTCTTGTGTTGCAGGAGAATGCCTGGGATGTTAATATCAACCTGAGCTTATAGTTTTCTTCTTTAGATTCACGGCCAGCATAGCAAAGCGTGTCAAATGACGTTCACACACCTCCTTTAATAAGCAACTTGGGCCTTTTTTTTTAAAGTGTTAGTAAAGACTGAGTTGGCAGATAAAAAGTGAAGATGTTGTTTTATTGCCATCAACTACAGTCAATGGTATGAAAACGAAAAGAGAAAGCCATTAGTTGCTCACTGCTTTTACTTCCCTTTGGGGGGTCTGAAGGGTGGGGTAAAGGCCACATCAGAGCACTGCAGGATACAAACACCTGAGTGCAGGTTCCTTACTTCATGTTCAGGTTCTCCAAACTAACTGAAGTGGGATGAAAAAAGTATTTCAACTTTTCTAGCAGGAAGAAAGAAACAATTTTAGTCTTCTCATCTTTTTCCTACTCCACTAATCTCTTTTGTGTTTTTTTCTGTCTCTATTTTTCTGTCTTTTCTATCTTTTTCATATTTCTGTTGGGGAAAAAAAAAAAAAGAAAGAAAGAAAGAAAAGCAAACGAAAGAAAAAAAGAAAAAATCAGTGTTATTTCTTCATTTAGGAACAAAACAATACTTTGTGTCTGTAAATAACAAGAAACAACAGAAATCTGAACTTTGAAGTCTATTTTTCCCCTATGGTATGGAACTAAATACAATTTTCTCTATAGTGAAAAACTGAATTTTCTCATTATCTTTCACACATATATAATGTTTTACATTACAAATTTCAATCAAGCAGGGGAAGAAAAGAAGCTTCAATTGAGAGTTAATTCCAGACTGATCCTGAAGGCCACCGGACTACCTGGAAAAAGCTGCTGACAGAAGTGACTCCAAATGCTCTCACTGCTTTGTTTTTTCAGCTCTTGTATCTGCAGGTCTCCTGAGTGCAGTCCAGATCAAGAGAAGCAAACTCACACCTCCATTTCCTCAGCAGAGTGAGCCCAAAGGAAAGCACTGTAGAATTAATATGGAATTTAACCTTATTCAAGTGTTTACTTTTACCCCCACTGAAAAGGGAGTACTCAAGTAAAAACCAGGCCAAGCCCAGCACAGCTCAACCATCGTGTTCTGTGAGCAGCTGAATAAACCTGCCCCAGCAGCAACACTGTGAAGTTTTGAGGGCAATTCACCCCTGGACTCCTGTTTTTCAGCTTTGCTTTCTCTTGCCCTGCTGGCAGCAAAAGAATAGCCAAAATAAGTCTGCACTGCAGACCTCAGACCTCAGTCCCCAGAAAGTGACTCAAAGCTGCATGGCAACACTGTAAAGCATCCAAGTCTCCTGGACATACAACTTCATAACATAGCTTTCAGAAGAAACGTTACTGTTTCTTGCTCGGTTAGCAGCATCATGTATGTGGTAGTGATAGCAACCAAAAACCAGAGCTTCAGGATCTGCTTAAGATAAGTCTTGTTACACAGAAAGTAACTGCACTCCCAAGACCTCTAGATGCACACAGCTCCTTACAGCAGGCATATTGGACTGCATAGCAAAATGAAGCTACAGCTGAAACACAGTGAACTTCCACAAAGGAAGCATCCTCTTCAGGCAGACAAGCATTTGAGCAAAGGCTAACTAACTTTTTCAAAAGGACTACATGCTTAAGGAGCATCAAACCTAGCAGCAAAAGCAGATCTCTGTTATTCCTAAGAGAACAATTCCCAATCATTGCACAAGAGCAGTGAGTGGGAGGCAGTTGCCACTTGGACACTTGCAAAGCAAAAGGCCTGCCTTGAATCAGAGCCTGTCTCTGGCCACAGCTCTTAGTGCCTCAGGCGGCACCGCAGAAAGACACTGCTGGAGGTATGGTAGAACACTACAGCAACAGCACGGTCCAAACTCAGTTCCCTTCTTTCTGGCTCTTCCTTTTCCTCTCAGGCAGCTGCCTTTGAATTCACCTGACCCACCAACAGGCTAGTGGGCTGACACACCTATTTTAGAGAAAAACTGCAAATCAGGCAGGCTCAAGCCTGCTGTGAGATAATCAGCTCATACCCACACTCACCCTAGTGAAAACCCCTAGACATGCTGCAGAAAACATCTGGGTGGCTTCGCTAAGAGGAACACAAATTTGAGGCAATGACTTAACTGTTTAGCTCTCATTGCAGCTATCTTTATTCAATCCTCTTGCTTAACATGAGAAACACCAAACCCCATGCTGAAGTACAGCATTAATCAATAACTTCTGGAACAGGCCTGAAAACAACAATCTGCTAAGTAAAATATTGTAGCCTGCCAAGAGTTAACTAAATTCAAGACAGGATGCAGCAGAAACCCTTTGAGGAGTTATCTTAGAAATTACGATGCAAAACCCAAGCTGGGTGACAGCCAGCAGTGGAGCTAAAGGATATGTCACTGCTGCCCCATGGGTCACCTACTGGCACAATGTCTTTACGCTCATGAATATGATAAGATGAAGTGCAGGGCAGGCCTGAGGTCCTGACTGTTCCCAGATGTTACTGCAGCAGAAAAAAACATTGCTAGCTTTGAAGGGTTTTCTTGACCCACAATACCGCTTCTCATCTTAATGTTTACTCATAGATAGACTGAGATGAACCACTGAACAGAGAAATAATTCCCTTGACAAACAGAGCTGGGTTTTTTGGGTAGTGGTTTTTTGTTGTTGTTGTTGTTTGTTTGGGTTTTGTTTTTTTCAGTGGTTGAGGGTGGCTGGGTGATTTTCTTCTTTTCGAACCAGAGAACTGCGTTTTTGGGAAGGATCCGGAAGATTCACTCAGAAGAAGGGTGGAAGTAATGTCATCCACCGCGGCGAGCGGCCGGGCTCGGTCTGGCGGCGAACCGCTGACCGCAGAGGGGTCCCTGAGGGCCGCGGGTTCCCCTGGAGGAGCGAGGGGGCAGCCGGGGCGCAGCTCCGCTCTCTGGGGCGGCCGGCAGGTGGCGCCATTGCACCGCCGGCGGCGCGGGGCAGCGCGGGGGTGGCGCCTCCGGGAAGAGAGCTCAGCCTTCCCTGCGACCGCGGGAAGATTCACGAGGGAGAAATCATTGAAAACAAATTCATTTCTAAACAAAGTGCCAAGTATCGTTTTTTGCTTGTTTGTTTGTTTGTTTGTTTGTTTGCAGAGAAAAAATGACTTCAGTCACAACACACTCACAATTCAGCACATTTTTGACTGGCCCTAAAGATAATGCTAGCAGTCAGTGACAGTTCTGCTCCCAGAGAATCAATCTGCCTTGCACCCAAACACGAACCTTCCCAGCTGAATCAGACCGGCCTGCAGCACTGGCACCTGGGGGCTGAAGCATCCGAGGCCCAGCATGGGAATGCGATATCCCCACCTGCCCAGCCTCACAGCCGCAGTGCCCACGTGCGCCTGCACCCTGCGGCGGGACAGGGCCTCTGCACGCTGCCGTTTCTCTCCCAACCAATTAAAACAAAACGGGTGTTTGCATCACTTGCCCACTTGAAATAAAGCTCAGGGCATTTGTGTACGTGCTGGGTGCGGTGTGCAGGTTGGTTTGGGGATGCAGATAGCAGCAAGTCCATTACAAAAGCACTCAGAGCTGGACTGCTGTGATGCCATGGTGCTACCAAGCTGTGAGATGGGACCTGCATGCTCACACAGAGAACAAACAAGAAGGACGAGTAAAGCATGTGTGGGTTGTGCTGACAGCCTGTCCCATGCGCCCAGTACCTTTCCAGTTTGAGCGGAGAATAAACACGACACCCACAACACAGCCAGCAGTGGAAAACTTCTTGCTGATATGCCTTAAACTGATCTTCTTTAAATATAGAAGGGGGAGAAAATGGAGATGCTGTTTCTAGAGCAGTTTCTGACACTGAGATCTTAGTGGTGATCAGAAGCTACCTCCACCCTGATCACCCTGATCAGGATGAGAAAGGTCTTGCTTCCAGCCCCACTGGCTGAAAAGCAGGAAGAGCTGGTAGTCAGGAAGCAACAAGCTCATACGGGAGCTTTTCTCCTGACCCTCTGTAAGCTGAGCCTGGTAGCAGCAGGATTTACTTCTGCCCTCCTTGTTCCTCAGCCTAGCAGGCTGTTTCTGCTGGTGCAGGGGCCCTGCTGCATCCTGTATGCCAAGGGCATTTCTCCACCCGGGGACAAATGCACCCCTCTCCATGGCACTGCTCTGCTTCCCACTCTGCCAGCACAAGGAATAATGGTTCCCTGTCTGAAACCTGCCTTCAGTCGACAAAGCTCCTTCTCAAGCACCCAGCTTGTCTCTCTCATCTCTGATATGAATGAAGCCTTTCCAGGCTGACGCAGTCCCTGCAGGAACAGGAAGCTGTTCCTGGCACAGTGATACAGCCCAATATCTTTTACAGGAAAGCAAGTGCTGGTGCCAAAGAGCACCTTCCCATTCTGCATCCACCCAGGTCTTTACCTAGACTCACTAAAACTTCCTGCTTTGCAGCAGTAGCAAGAACAGCTAATTGAAGAGAGCTGCAGCATGCTGAGAAGATGCAGTGATTATTTCTACTCCATGGCTTCCCAATGCCACACACATTACCTTAAGAAATCCCTCTAAGCATCACTAGGCATATGAGGAAATGCCCTTACAAAGTGAATCCATGAATTTCACCCTAGTAGAGCAACCAAGTGCACAGCAAAGCCAAGACAAACACAACTCTGTTCTCTCCTGAAAATGTATGTGGTTTGGAAACCTCTGCTGTTGCCATATCCAAGGCAATGATTCATCCTCCCAGTGGGGTTTTGCCTTGCCTCCACATGTTTTGCAATGCTGCCTGACTTTATAACAGCGTGGCTGCACACAGTGAATCCTTGCTAATTTCTCAGCTTGCCTGTGACAGAGGAGGAGCTAATCCTTCTAACAATGATTTTCCTCTTTCACCAATTGGTCTTGTTGGCCACAGACTTATTTCTCGCAGTGATCCTTTCTTGCCTCCTTTATGCTTTTGCATTCATTTCCATCGCGTTTTTGACCTGCTTCATTATCTTCTGGTCCTTCAGCATCGTGGAGAAGAACATTGACATAAAAGGGAGAGCAATCGTGATTCTTGTATCCAACAGCTCAATTGGAAGGACGTTTGCTAGGAACTTGGATAAAGCAGGTTTTAGGGTGTCTGCTGCACGCTGGCCTCCTCGAGAGGAGGGAACAACTGCAAAAGAAGAGTGCTCTTCAAGAATGGATGTAGCACAGCTCCACATGACAGACGATGAGTACCAGAAGACAGTGAAAACCTTCATAGAAAGCCACTTATCCCTGAAAGGTAACTTTTAGAGCAAACTTGAAAATTGCACCTGACGTACGTATCAAAATGCTCAAGATTGTGAGATCACTGTGTTTTATTACTAAATGAGGGAGGCAAAAATGCCTTAGGTAATGGGTTATAACACTTAACTGCACTGCTTTTCTCTTGTGCAAAACAAAAATTTTGCATTTGCAAGGGAAAGAGACTACTCTGGTGGCTGTGAAGGCCCCAGTGGAACCCAGCCCCTGGAGGAAGGCAAGATAGGCCAAGGAACAAGGGGAGAAGGTCTCACCAAGGCAGAGAGGGCTGGACTCACCATGGGGAGAAAACACAGGAATGAAAGGGGGTGGTGCAGAGACTTGGACGATGACCCACGATGAAAGCAAATGTCTGATTTTTAACCTCTTGTGGATTAAAAAAACCTGAGGTTTCTCTTGTCTCTTTGTCTGCTGTGGGATTCACAAGAAATAGCCCAGCCAGAACTTTGGCTGGAAAGTTGGGACTATCTGAATACCTTCCTGGGACTGCACAAGGCTAGTGTCCTACTGAGGAAACATCCATAAGCACTCCATCTGGGGAACATCACCTGTTCTTTCTAAGCGTGGGATGAGGGGTGCTGGTAGACAGGCTGCCTCTGGCTCTTGATGAATTAGCTGTGCTACCCACCAGTCTCTGTCCTCATGGATGTTGGTTTTATGCCACTTGGGAGTGACAGAAAATTAAGCCTTCGCTGTCTGGGCTATAACCTCACTGCCCACAGGCTTGGGAAGAGGCCAACTCTCTCTTCCACCATACCTCCTAGTCAAGGAGGTATGCTTCCCCGTACTGCTTCCTTCCTTCTCCAGCTTATCCACCCCTCTCTTCCTCACTCTTACTGCGATTTCTCTGAGTCTCCTTTTGAGGACTCCCCAAGGCAGCCTCCCTGCTCGCTAACACTGAGCCAGAATCTCCAACAGCACTCTTTTGACACCCCTGAGAAAAGACGAGACCCTTTGCATTGCTGCCCAACACTGGAAGTTTTCTTTGTGCTCCCAGGCTGTGCACAGGAAGGACGTGCTGCAGGACAGAGTACACACCATGGGGCCTCCCCTGCTGCAGACACCCCACCAGAGACACGGTAGGGAACTCCATCCAATTCCTGCAGCCAGCTGCAGCTGTTGATGGCCCAGCAGCACAGGTTCTCTCCCATTGCTTTTCTCCTCAGAAGCACACAGCAGACCAGAAGTGCCTGTGGTCGGATCCTGTAAAATCATATTGATTAAGCTTGCTTGAATAGGCAAGGCCTAAAAGCTCACAAAGCTGACCATCAGCTCCTGCTCTGGAAACCAACAACTGACGCTTTGTTAGCCAGTATAATTTCATGGGAGCTGGTGATTTCCATGGGCCTGTACTGTTTTAACTACACGATGATCTGCCCCAGTAATATCTTTTAAAATTTGGGTTACTTTGATCATGGTGCTGGGTAAATAAAGGCTTTTGTAAGTCTTTTTTTTTTTTTTTTTTTTAATCTTTATCATAGAATCCGTGAGCTTTTACTTTTAGAATCTCCTGCACTGTATTCACTTCATAGATGCGAATGTATTCAAATGTATTTCCCATGTGCTGACCCAATTGCATAGCACATCAAAGGCCTGTGTCAGGAATTTAAGGAAAACAAGAAAGAACAAGACTTCAAACTTTTCTTAGTTTTCCTTGTTAGAGGTTTCAAGTGAGTATTTCTGGTATTTCTTCTACAAGATTTGCTTTAATATGGGTCATGGGTTAAGTGAATCTGCCAGTACCTGACTGACAGTAAAGCAATTAAAACCAAACCAAAAGACGACATTGATAGGTCTGCACATTCAAGATGACTTTGGTCAGCAGGATCTGGACGAGACAGCAGTTGGTACTGTGGGGCAAAGACAGGGAAGAACAATTTTGTAACTCTCTCCTTGTCAAGATTTCTCTTACATGCTTTATTTGTATACAACTATTGGTTTCCAAAGAAAGGAACATTCATATTTGGTTTTGTAGTATATTTTTTAAACAACTTGTTCCCATAGGAAATCTTAACCACGACGACTTGCTAGTGTAAATAAAAATATTTTTTTAACATAAACGTAGCTATTTTAGTGCAAAATGTGTCACTTCCAAGTGATACAATAAAAACAGAAACCCCTAATCACAGCCACTCCTAGAATTGAAGGTTTTTAACAGCTGAAATCATCTATTTGCTATCCTAATACAGGCCTACAGATCTAAGTAAGCTAACCTCTTTATTTTGAGGTTGCAGTAATAAAGTTTAAGGTATTACAAGGTATAAATGTTTGTAAAAGTAGCATAAGGATATAGAGAAATGCAAATCAGCCCCCTTCCAAAAGTATGATGTATGTTTTCTGATAGCTTAACTCGGTTCATAAGAAGTCTTATTTTTTTTAGCATTTCAACTTTCGGTGCCTCTAGATTATATATTTTCTAGGACTAGGAGGTCAAAGAGACAGGAGGGGAAACAAGAGTGAATGAGTCTTAGTTGCTCACCTCCAGGAGCTGGGCTTACACTATCCAACATTGTGAGAGCTCTTGGCATTGCACCCGAGTGCTCGGGGATCAAGTTGCTTGAGAAACTGCTGTGTTGCATTGCTTTTCGGGCACGTTGCATGGAATTGCTGGCAGCCACTTCCTGACATTCAGGGTTGACTGCAGTGAGGGTGGGGCAGGACAAGGAGGAAAAAAATGTGCAGATGGGCAAGACCCAACAGATGGCAACCTGACCGATGTGGGAAGAGTTCAGACAACTAGAGCACCGGGCTAATTAATTGCTGCAGTCTCGGTTGCTGCAGTACCTTGGAGTTCAGCTAATCAGACACACATCACAATGGACACTAGGCTAACTGAAGTTAGTATTTACTGCTTCATGCCCAAAGAATGACTGCTTTGAACTTTGCAAAAGATCGATCAAGTAACCCTGTTTTCCCAACCTGCATGGAGTCTGGCTCATCACATTGAAGTGCTGGGACAAGAGAGAATGGAGAAACTGCTGTTTCACATCTAGTTTCAACCTACTCGTGTGTTACAGAAAATTTTAACTATGTTTTTTCATTTGCTGCTCTGAAAAAACTTCTATTTTGAGAGATTCCATCTCCTCCTTTTGGTGTCTTAAACTCCCTCAAGACTTTCTGTGTTCCAGGCTGCACTCCACCAGCCTTTATGATGTATGTGAGTCTGTGGACGGCCACCGAAGTACACAGAGAAGCCAACATGGAGGAGTGTTTGAGACCAGCTGTTCTGCTCCCCAACATGCTGCTGGTAACAGCTCCTAAGAACTCTTCCTAAGTCAGTCCAAGCAAGATCACCTGGACGATTTAATCAATTTAAACAGGCAGGTTTAGTTAATCCAGCTGATTGCTCTGAGGGCATCAACCATCGGTGGCAAGTATTGCCAATCCTGGACAACGAAAGGTGGCTCCAGATGCAGTTGCTTGCTCAACACTGTACTGATGCTGTCAGAAAAACAGAGCACTGAATTATCAAGGCAGCCCCATGGCCTATTGGATAGTCTCCATCTCTTCTAAAGGACAAGCTGTTCTTGCAGTTCTGTTCTGTACTAGACATTGGTGATAGGTGCACTCCTGGCACCTCCTTTGCTTCGTTTCCCTCAGCATCCACTTACTTTAGTCAGTCATTCAGTTTAGTCCCTGGAGGCACTCTTGTGATTGAGAGACTAAGAAAGTGAGAGCCCGCAGTGTGCCTCAATGGGAGGCAGACATTTGAAGCACTCCTTTGCACACTGGAAGCACTGTACAAATTCTTTTCCTTCCTAAGGACTGCAGTGCAGTACATCAGATGATTTTATTAGAAAGTAACACTTCCTCACTCACTTTTCCATGCTACATTCACCTCAAGATGAAAGGCTAGGCCATACAGTCATTCCTAAGCTCAGAAGGAAAAGTGAGCTCTCTTTTGCAGAATTATAGCATGGCACAAGCAAGGGTGATGCACAACCAACCACTCCCACTCACCTCAGAGACAGATCAAACAGATGTGATAATCATTGAATCACTGACTGCACTAAACTACAAGAGAACAGGAATTATGAATGAATAAGGTAGAGGAAATCATATACTCATGTAATTCTAAAGAGTGCTGTATTATTTAACTGTACTCACCTACAACAACTGCAGGCCACCTTGGATAAATTGCACTATTTTCCAGTCTGCAAGTGACTATGCTTGGAGCTGAGTCAGATGATTAATTCTTGTAGCTATGGTTTTGCACCTTTAACATAGGTTATCCAGAAGTCTTTGAAAAAACAGTTCGTAATGCATTGCCTTCTTACCTTTTGGAGACTCATCAAAAGCAGAGAAGTACTTTACTAGAGAAGTAGCAATCAGAGCCATGCAACTACCTAGGCAGAAAAATCAGATCTCACTCTGAAATATAGGTTGGGAGGAGTTATTTATTATTGGAAGAAAGGGAAAAAAGGAACCTGTGCATCATCTATACTTGGTTTAATTTTTCCTTCAAAAAGAAGCTATACATCGGCAGCTGTGGATGTTTTGCAGGAGATCGCTTTTCCTTCCCTCAAGTGCTTTTGTAATTCTCTTGTTTCAACAGACAACTTCTCTGCCAAGCACCCTTGGACATACACGTAAAAAAAAACCATGATTAAAGAGCTGCACAATCCAGAAATGCTGCAGTAACACTTCTCCATCTCCATCCCTTGCTCTCTGCCAGTAGGCAGAGCCTGTTTGGGTCTGAAACCTCTGTCCCTCACACATCACATTGCTGCTGCTAACCCTCTTGCCTGCTACTGCCGAACCGAACCGCAGGACTTTGTGCTGGACAGGGCTGGCACTTCAGACCGGTGCAGAGTCCTCAGGACTGCACAGGATCACAGGCTGTAATCCTGTAATCCTAGCAGGAGTCAGTCTGATCAGCTAGTCTGACCTGCATTTTATAGGCCAGAGAACTTCATCAAGATTTCAGAAGAACAAAGCAGCCAGCCAGCCATGCGGAAACACGTGAGCAGGGAAAGCGAGCCGAGCCATGAACTGTGGGTTCAGTTTGCTGTAAAATACAGCAGGTACCCATGAGCCCTGCTGTGCACATCAGTGCTTTGTTTATCTCTTCCTTGCTGCATAGAGGACTTCTGTTTGCAAGCCAAGATATTGAAGAATTTATTAAAAATGCATCTTCAGCTGCTATATTTTCAAAACGGGTTATTTTATTTGCATGCATTCAGAGCCTGTTGCCACGTTCACTCCCAATACCAGCAATGTGTATATTCTATGGAAAGAGAAGGAGGTAAAAGAGCCACAAGCTGCCATTGCCTCCTTTTTTTTTCTTTTTTTTCTTTTCTTCCAAATAAGCTTTTTTTCCAAATCTTATGTTTGCAGGTGGCAGGAACAAAGAAAGATTATTTCAACAAAAAACAACCAAACAAGATCTGGTAGTTGGATGCTTATGTTATATTGGCTCCTTAATTCTGCCAAAAGCCTCCTTTAGCATCCTAAAGCTGCACCCTCCCCATTTTGCCCCCATTTAGCTCAGGAAGTAGACCCCCATCATGCAAGTTCATTGTAAATTAAACCCCAGGCATGGGTTCCATTTCTAAGTTTCATCAATCACTAAGCCATACAAGGCTGAAGAATATTTGTAAAAATCACCAGTAGAGCATCTGCATTTATGAAATGTAGTTCCTGAAACAAAGAAATGACACATTTTCATGCATTTGCAGTGGTAGGATTAGAGATATATGGTAAAATAAAAGCAAAACTACCTAGGAAACTATTTCTTAATCACTTTTGCCCAACACTAAACTACGCTGGTCTCTTAAATCACTTTTATTCATATCTGCTAATATAACCTCTATGCTAATGTAAAAGCGTCCCAAATGAGGACTTAACTTTGCACCAGTTTAGAAACAGAGCACTGCCATTCATTAACCAGAGTTGGGCAGCTTCCAACTAGACCAATATTTTGGAAAAACACCAGGATTATAACTCAAGGAGTTCTACAGTTTTATTTCTCCCTCAAAAATGAGACCATCTGTCAGAGTATTTGCAATGGGGAAAGGGAACCAAGTGAAAGAGTTACTTTGAACTCTGTTTTCTTATGTTACAGCATGTAAAGATACACCTCAGAACTGCTGAGACTTAATTTAAATTTCATAGTAAGACAATGTATATAACAATTGAATTGCTACATGTGATAAATAAATGCTTCTTTGATACACACAAATAAGTTATATTTTAATTACAGAGCTTTGGAGTAGATTATTTTAACTCTTGAAGCTCTCTATCCAACTGGCAGACTGCCTTTGCAATACTTAGGCTGCAAACTCCCAGGTAACTCAGAAGAAACATTTTCAGGAAGAAAAGATGGGCAGGAACAAACTCCTTCACTGCTCTCCTTGCTGCAGCATGGAGGACTTGGCTGGTCCCACAGTCAGCTCAGCCACAGCAGCTTTGCTGTGGCACTGAATTGTGGTACTGAAGTTCTAAAGATTCTAGCATAGAGCCAATTTCACCTCAGGTGGATTGACTTAGTGATAGAGTCTCCATGAGAATTGCTCCAGATTAGATCAGCAGCAGTCTGCCATCAGAAGTTAAAATAAACCTGTTTTTCAGGTTTATTGTATTATAAATACATACAGTAAAAACTTCATAGACTTGTTGCTTTGTTGTAGCTTGTCTGTTGATTTTTTATGAAGAAATTGTCCAAGAAATAGATCCGTCTTTTTGTTCTTGGACAGCTTGTTCTAGTTGTTCTAGTCTTGTTCTGGGACTGCATTTATTATCCGGAAGCATTCACCACCTTGATTTGGTCAAGCAATTTGAAACTGCTCTCTGAAGTCTCAGCTGTTTTTCAGGACATGAAATTATCCTGCCTGACAGCTACACCAGGTAGCACTCACTTCTAAACACAGACTACATGAAGTTCACTTTTTAATACAATAGACTGATGAACCATAAACAATAATTGTAGCTCCTCCTATAAAAAGCCTTGGCAGCAGAGAGATCTCCCCAGTGATATAAAACCCACATTTATATCTAAGTCTGACCATCTAAGGAATATGAGCATGAGCTTTCCCCATTTATCTCTATAACATTTTTCAGCTCCATCTTGCCTTGTCCAAAATGTAGAAACACAATGCATGCATCACACATGTCCATTTAAGCTTTGGAGTTTGCCAAAAAGCATGCAAACAAACACTCTACTAACCAAAAACCACAACTCAAAACTAGATAACCAAAAACCACCCTAGTTTTTATATGTTTCTTTATTTTGCTTTTAATTTTTCTAACTCCCCATATCCCTCTGGCATTTGAATTGCCCTTTTACTGTAAAAGGGAAAGTGTCTGTTCCCCATTAAAGCTTTGTTTCCCTCACTTCCATTCTGGCAGTTGTCAAACTAATCAGGATAGCACTAATATAAAGCAAAAGCTCCACTCAAGTCACATGCCTTCCATTCCTTCCTTATGGTCACTTTTGTGATTTGATATTTACATATATTAAAAGTGCATCTTCTCTCTTTTCTTGCTACCCAAAACTCACAAAAAATTGAGAAAGCTTTTAGGCCACATTTTCCACACTGATGGAAAATTCCCAATCAGTTCCAATATCTATACATAAAGTGTGACTGATTTACAGCCTGTAAAGGGAGAGACGATTCCTTTCTTCCCCATTCCTTCAATAATAGAGAGCTTCAATGTTATTTATAAAATGTTCAGAAAATAAAAATGCAGGCAGATGAGAATCAGTGACATACTCTTAAAAAAAAAGAATGACCCCAAAGTCCCCAAATGTTTGTATGCTGGAAAGAGAGGTGGCAAGAGAGATGTTTCCTTCATCCACTTGCGCTCTGTACTTCCCTTTAGACCTCTCATGCAGATATTTTATTCATGCTCCCAGCTCTGGGGCACAGGTTGTGTCTTCATCAGTCGTGTGGAGTCACTCAGTCTGATGTGAAACAAGGTAATGCAGTTAAAATACGGGAGCGGGTAAAATAAGGCTAAGTCTTATTGCAGTTTTCCAAGAAGCAGAGAGGCAAAGTGCTGAAGAAGAGAGGACTGTGGACAAGGCAAGCCTTTCTGCCTGTTCCCAGAGGGATGCACCATGGGCCACAGTTAGCCCACGTGCAATTAAAATACATCTGGCACCACACTTTATCAACCAGACACAATAAATGAGATATGATAACAATTTGATATAGAAATGGGGTAATGAGTAGAACAGAGGTACAGACAGTTTGGCACAGGACAGATGTGAATCAAGTGTGTTCAGACTAAGTCACATTCTTCAGGGCAAGCATACAGGTATGAACGGACAGGTAACAAGAGACCAGTGTATGTTTTGTTCTAGCTTTCTAATATCTTCACAGGTCTCAGCAAACATGGCACAGAGAAGGCCAATGGCTGGCACAGAAGTTTATCCAGAGATTTCCTTAGGTTCTTCCTAGGAACAAGAGCAGTACTTTCCTCAAATCCTTTTTCCAGCTTTCTTTCCTTACAGCAAGACAGGTCAACTCTCTCCTCAACTGTCCAATTAGCACCACCTTTCCCTGATATTTACTGTCTGCAGAAACTAAGAGCAGATACTAGGTTTAAAGGCTCCCTTACATTTAGTGCTCTATATTGCAACTAGGTAAGCAGATAAATGCCGCCTCTCAAAGATTATTCACTGTGCTGCAGACAAACAGGCCCCAATCCAATTCATTTGCCTTATGAAGTAGAAAACTTTAACCTGAATTTGTCCCTTGAGATGTTTGGATGCAATAACCTACCATTACAAAGGAAGTAAGTGCCTTAAAGGGAACAAGTCCCAGCAAGTGACGGTTTCTAATAAATACCATTTGATTTTTCCTTGAGTATTTCTTGGAAAGTATTTTACTTTCTTTGATTCTAAGAAAAAAAAAAAGAGAAAAAGCTAATGTTTGGCTGGTCATAAAATTGTTGTGAGCTTGTACAAATAATCTGACATCACTGCATTTTGCTGCACCTTTGAAGTATGTTAGGTTGTTCATACAGTTGGATTTTCTACTACGTAATCTGTTGGGTCTCCTTGTAGAACTGACACACACACAAAAAAATCATAAAAACAATTTCAGCTTGCCAAAAAAAAAAAAAAAAAGATTCTGAATTCCAGTGTTCCAATGAGACCTGTAATAAGAAATCCTGTGTGGAAGGAATAACTGTGGAAGGAAATCCTGAGGTGTGGGAAGGAATAGCTGTCTTTCGATCATCACTATTTCTAATATGTCTTGCAAAATACGGCCTCCCTCATCCCTGTCATGGATGGATACTACAGATCTCATTACGTTCAGGTTTCTAATTAGGTGTAATTTAAAGTGGCAATATTTCATGTTGTAATTCAGGAATTGCTGTATGAGTAAACTTAGCTCATACCCTGTTAATTTGGCAGGCACGTATGGGCTGATGAAGAAGCCATCACTGCTGATATGGGAAGAAGAGGAACCAGACACATGCAGGCTACCAGAGAGAAGAACCCCTCATAAATGGAAGAAGATTTTCAGGGTTCCAGGTAAGAAAACACTTGTAGCAGCTGAGTATAATCAGACGCATTGCATTTCTCTAGAAATGTCTAGATGAGGGAGAAAAATATCTATAAAATGTTTCGTCAAATAAGTTTGTTTTGTTTTTATTTTTCCTTGATATCTTTTAAAGACTCTTTTTTTAAATGTCTCACTGAGCATTTGGTATCTTCTAAAACAAAGCCCATTCTCCTTGGCCAGCACAGTGGGGAAGGAGGTGGGAGGCAGCATCCATAAAGACCCTGTTAACCTTCTGCTGCTCCTTTCCTTTGCTCTGGTCACCTTGGAGGGGCACAGTGCAGAGCTGCGCAGTGCAGATGGAGTTTAGCATGAGCAGCCCTTTCCTAAAGCCCTGTCCCCACGGCCCCCATAAAAAGGGAACTGCAATAGGAGTGGGATGGGAGAGCAGTGTCTCTGTGATTTGCTTGGCTCTGGTAATCCAAAGCCCATAAAGGCTGAAAATGGATTTATTTATTTATTAATTTATTTGGACAGATTAGTATTTCCTTTCACTGTTGAGCCTGTGGTTGAAATTGCAGGCTGGTCAAAACTTTTCTATTTGCAGCCCTCTGCACCACAGCCCTCTTTTGCCCACTGAACTGTGCCCTGACTTTCCTGAAGAAGAGAGTTCTGCAGCCCTATGCACTCCTGAAGTCCAAAAACTGAGAGGTGAGATAGCACACTCATGGCTTAACTGCACACACATGACAGAGCCAAGCAGCGCGTCCTGCACGGCCAGCTCAGCCCTGCTGGGATGGAGCAAGGTCCAGAAGTAAGTTAGTGACAGAGTGGATCGCCAAGGATCCCGGCTGGTTGGTCTGATCTTTCCCTGGAAAAAGGAAAAGGGGCCCTGGCTCTCTGCCTACAGCTCTACTATCAAGTGCCTAGTTCTCAGCAGCAATCTTTGCTTTGGTGTTCCTGAGTTTTGGCTCAGGGCTATGAAGCATGCTGTAAATGATGTGTTCAACATTAGGTGGAACTGAAGTCTATTCCTTCTACTACAACACACTCACCAGTGGCTGCTGTGGTGGAAACAACACAGTGCAGGCGTGATGAGGGAAGGAATGCAGTAAAATGGCACCATCTGAATGAAGTTATATGAAACAACTGAATAGCACTAATATTTTTCAGCAGGGAAGGAATCCCATGGAGCAACATGTTAATATTCTAACGTCACAAAAAGAAGATGCTACAGGAAGGAGCACAGCTGGGATCAAAAATGAGGGAGAACATGAGTAGTAACTTCAGTCACGGGACAACGAAAAACTGCAGATGAAGACAGAAAGCAACTTCTGAACTGTGAGACAGGTCTCTAACTCACTTTCAAGCCATTTAATGTGTAAGCAAGAGGACACTGATGTTTGGGGTTATTGTTACAATGCTGCATACTGGGCATTGTAGCATATGTACATATACTACTCACACACACACACACACACACACACAGAAAGAAGAAAAAACATGAGGTAAAAGAAAATGAAGGAATAATTTCTCTGCAAAGAAAAAAAGCAAGGGCTTAGCTTTCTTCATCTGAAGCCATAACTCAGAACTACGTGACTGATGGTAAGAGATGCCATCCACCCAGGAGCTGGATCCAGAGAGAAAAGAGAAAGCTTTCAGAACAGCTTCTATAAGGCATTAAACCAGCTTGATATCCAGCCAGATTGGAAACAAATATTTTAATTCCAGAACATCACAGCACTGGGAGAGAAACATGCTAAGGCAGAAAATTTCTTAATGAAAACTTTGTGGTTTTTAGTTTATATATTAAAACAAGCAACTTGTTATACTAATAGCACCAATACTGCTTCTGCAGAATATTCCACGAAAGGTGTCCTTTAGCCAGAACCCAGTTTGAGCCAAGGCTCTCAACTCAGTTTGTGTCATTCCATTCTGTGCATGCTACCTTGTGCAACACAGAGGACTTGTGTGGGCCACCACCTGCCTACTGCTTTTCCCCCTCAAAGTGTCCTTCACTCAAAGGCCAACATCTACCTGTGTACAGCAGTCTCTGCTGTCTGAACCTAGAGACACTGTATGAACAAATACATGCTCCCAAAGACTCCACTGGAAATTTTGCTTGCCCAAGGATGTGAAGATGGTCCATGTTTGTTTATAAAGTTCCCCAGCCCACTGAGATGCAGAGAGCTACTCCATGCAGGCATGGAATTGTGACTTGGAGGAAATACCATCACAACATAAACTACAATACAACTGCACTTTAAAGTGTGTTTAGAACAAATTTGGTATATCCAACTAACACTGAATTTACAGACTGAAATTCTGAGATTCCTGAAGCTGACTAAGGGGTCTGAGTGCCTGGTTGCTTTTCATTTGAGTGGAAATGAGAGATTTGAATTCCTTAAACCAAACAGAATGTTTTAGCACTAATGCATGTATTATTAACTGTGAATCTATGACTGATGCTCCTTCTTCCTTGATGTTGTATTCCTACCAAAAAAAAAAAACCCAAAAAACCAACACTAAGACAGCACTCCCAGGTTGAATACTTGCCAACATTGTCATTCTCTCACTAGCACTCTCTCTCCATTTTTTTCAGGCCCTTTTCTCAAGTTGTTCCTCCTTGAGCAGAGGTTAGCCACACAGCTAGCTCCAATAAGGCAGAGTCTAGCATGCAGGTGCTGCTCACCTCCAGACAGTGCCTGGAAGGTGTTTCAAATAGCCACAGCCTTCCAAATGAGAAATGTCCTCATATGTGTTTACAGTCTTCCAGAAAAGAAAAACAGAAGGGGAGGAGTAAGAGAAAAGAGAGGACAGGGAAGCAGTATATAATGATTAGCATAATGGGATTTGCTATTCTTGTTAATAGTTTAATCAAAATAAACATTTACTGAACCCTCTTATGCGCTTGCCATGATCAAAGTGCTTTATATTTAGCTTAGCACTTGTAAGCCCTGGTTAGCGCTGTCTGCATCTCTGCTGCCCACTTACTTAGGCAACAAAAAAGCCAGGGATGAAGCCTAGCACTGGGACCTGCATTTCCTGACACCTAAAAACCCCACCATACACAAGTGGTATTTCCTCAGCTGCATGCGTGCTGGCTGTGCTGCATTTGCCAGACATACGATACAGAATAGACAGACCTCAGTGTACGTGGGACTTGCCGTGTACGTGCAAGTGAAGAGCAGGCGTGCTGTGCTCCAAGGCACCACTTGCTCCACCTCTACCAAGGTGGTAGCTATGCATGCCTCTCACCTGTGCTGGAGGTGGCCCAACACTTCTAAAGCTTTGTGGTAACACACAGTTGGATCTTGCACTTCTCATACAGTCTTTACTAGAGTTAATCACTTAGCAGCAGCCCCTGCTTTGTGAGTTCATTAACCAGTTGCTGAAGAATACATACAAGATACAAAAGCAGACAGATACAGAGGGATGGGACAGGATGCTGATGGCAGGGTGGAAAAATACACAGTCTCACAGGGCTGATGGAGTGAGGGTGGGGGTGCCACAATAGCTTTGTTGGGTTTTGTCCTAGAGCAGTTATTATTGCTACTTTGTACCCAATCATCTATTATATATTATGCTATGTTCTGTGATATGATACCAATATGTTCTGTGGAACCTGAGGCCTTTCTTATAATCCTTATTGTTCAGTTTGATTTTAGGCAGAGAGAGAGAAAAACTGACTTAAGTATTTTTTTAAAGACATGAAAGCAAGTGATGCTAAAAGCATGTAAAACCATCCTGTTGGTTTACCATTATACAGCTAATTTTAACTGGCTTTGAAATAAGCTGAGAGCATCTCCAAATTGATGACTGCAAAGTGGGGGCGGGATGGGTGCTATACTAACAAGACACCCACAGCCCTACAAGGCAGATTTCCCAGCAGAGCACTTTTCCCCATTGCAGAGGTTGAGGGAGGGGGACACCTTGTGCCCCCTGTGCCTCCTCCAGCCTGTCTCTAGTGACCTCAGAACAGGGGAAGTTGTGCCATTTAGAGATGCTGGTCTCTGAGCAGACACACATTGCTGTAACAGCAAATGCCACAGGCAGCATCTGTCCAAAGAGCCAGGATACCATGTTCCAGAACACAGGAACACTAAGACAGGTAGTCACAAGATTAGTTGGCTGTCACGCATCTAATTTATTTTGGCATTTCCAAGGGGGAAAAAAAACAGCAAAAACAACTACAGGTGATACAGCACTGAGAAGCATGGAAAAATACAACTGTAAGAAATCTTGGGATGTATTTTAATTCTAGTTTTTTGGAAATAACAGGGGGAAATAGCACCTTTCCAGTGTGCCACTTAGGTGCACTTTGTGCTGCACAGTACCATAGGTCAAATCACGCCCAAGACGAGGCCTGAAAGACTTTAAGCTCCTTCCACAAAAACATATTCAAAGAGAAGCACATGCTTATAACTCTGGAATACAGAAAGAGTTCTGTTATATGCCTTCACACAGTTAGGAGAATTGGAATAATTACAAGCTTATCAGACCTAAGGGCCACAGGGGAGCAGCAAGCATGTAACACAAGCTTTTTGCTAGGACTAGAGTGCTCCAACTCCTTGCTTTTTTTCCAGTTGATGCAAGAGCCTGGCCCCCCTGTAAGCAGCAACAGGAGCCTTATTGAATTTGCCAAAGGGGCAGAGAGAAAGCTGAGTGGTTTGGAGTCCTAATTCTATGTTCTGGGAGCCATTTGTGTGCCAGATAAGCTTTGGGTAACTCTGCTGACTCAATAATATATACAATATGTATTATTATATAATAATATATACAATATAACAATATATAAACTCAACAATCTAACAATATATAAACAATATATATAATATTGTTAATATTGTATATATTAACAATATATACAATATATAAACTCAAACATCTCACTCAAGATTCAGATACCTGAACCTTTTCAAAAGCATGGATACGTTTGATTCAAGGAACCTCAGGTTAGGAGCCTCAGATATGGGTTATTCCCTCAGTCAATCATTTTTCCAGATGAGAACTTAAAGAAACTGTTTTCTCAGGGTTTTTGTCTATAAAAGGAGTGCAGAAGCTGAGCAAAAAGTCAACTATCTTTGTTTTTCCCTATTCCTCTTTTTGAATGCAAGAATTTTCTTTGTTGAAAGACTAATAAGTGATCTATAATGAATAAATAAAGCAATGAAGCAAGAAGAAGCTGATGTAAAACGCCGTGGCAGAGTTAAATACATCTTTTCATACAAATAAGTAAACGACTAGATGAGGATGATTCTCAGTTCCTGCAGGAAACATGAATAGAGCTTTCAGAGAGAACAGAATCAAAATGACTACAGAATTCCACGTGAAGTGAAATAATACACATCCAGTTTCCTACTTGCACCCTCAGTGGAGCACTTATGTGCAGACAGACAATTACCTCTGAGTAAAAATAAAAAAGGAAGCTTGAGAATCCAAAAAATCAGGTACAGAAGAACATCAAAAAACATGCAAAACATTAAGCAGACTGTGAAGGAATGAGGGAATGTAGATGAAAGGAAAGAAGAGACGAAATGCCAACAATACTAAAAGCATTCAGTGGACCACTAGATTCTGAAAGTTGTCTAGTCAACAGCTTGTCTGCAGTATACAAGGTAGCCATCTTCTACTGTAAAAGGCCTACTCCACATTACTATTCTTTATCTGCCTCTGAAATGACCAAAATTCAGGGGATGAGTCAAAGTGGCATGAAATCAACAACTTTTAGTTAACATACTAATTGGAGAAGTGAGTTTTAAGTTAGGTCTTACGATTTACTACTTGATTTATGCACTCCCCTACCACGTTCCTCTCTTTGCCTGCTCATTTGATATTTCTTGGTCTCAAAGTGGAAAACTTCCAGATATCTATAGATGTTGCTGAGACAAGATTTCTTTTCCATCAATACCAGGAAATCGACACTGATTTAGTTAAATTAAACAAGATTTATGCTGGTAAATTAGTGGTAATTAACTCCACAGGCCCAGAGAGGAATTTCTAAAAGTCATTTGGTCCATCCACCTGCATAATAGAGGCCTTGCACTGGTCACTCCTGACAGAGGTCTAACTTCTTTTCACAAGGAATCTGAAAAGGTTCCAGTACTTCAGCCTCCCTTAGGAACATTAATCACTAAAAATGAACTCTCCTGATTTTCCCTTGAAACAATTTAGCTGCTTCTCTTAACTGTCAGGGTCATGAAGACCAGATACTCCATTTCCTAATTTGCAGCAGACAACAATCTTTTGGAAAGGATTTAGTCTCCTCTTCAGCCTCTCTCTCCTGAGGATCTTTACTGAACTTACTCCTTCTTTCCTTCTATACCTTTCATCAGTCTCACTGCTCTCCATATTGAACCATCGCAGTCTTTAAGTATGCTTGCCAAAGGTGAGTGCTGTGCACCTGCTGCCTTGGAAGCAAGTTGACTGCGAGGATTATGGCACTTGTAAGAGTGGTACTGATGCAATAACATGGCATTGTTTATTCACAGTCAGCTTATAAGCCACCAAAATCTTTCATCATTATTGATAAATCAACTACGCACACAGTTGTTGTTCTCCAGTCTGTAAGAACAATATAATAATCTACATGAAGTGTTGCAATATATAAATTTGTACTCAATAGAGGAACCATGCCTGAACAGCAGGCTGGTCTTGTTTTCAGTCACATCTCTAGTTCGCTAAGATCATACAGAAATCTAATCCTCTACAGTGTGCTCACAGCCTCTTCCAACATTGTGTCAGCTGCAAATTGAAACTGCATTCCTCTCTTCTATTAGCCAGATTATATATGCAAGATACATGCATAAACCAACCCCCTCAGAAACTCCTTCAAAAACATCCCTTGTCAACTTGTCACCAGCTTTGGGCCCAGGTGTTTTCATCTATGACATCCTTAAAAGACTGCATATGAAACAGCTCCAAAGGTCAAACCAATATCAGTGTGCTGTCATAGTTTAGAGGGAAAATATCATAAAGTAGCTTATGTTGGAAGGGACCTTATACATCATCCAGCCCCAACCCCCAGTCGTGAACAGGGCTGCCCCCCACCAGCTCAGGATGCCCAGGCCCCATCCAACTGGCCTTAAGAGCCTCCAAGGATGGGGTACCACAGCTCTGGGCAGCAGTGCCAGGACCTCATCAATCTCCAAGCAAAGAATTTCTTCCTCACATCTAACCTTAAATTTCCCCTCTTTTAGCTTAAACCAAATTACATTGGTTTGAATCTCTTGCATCACACACAAAAAAACCAACACAGCCCTAAAACCAACATGGCCCTTTTACTCATGCTGCTGCATTTTTCCAGGCACTCCTAAATTGTTTGGTTGGCTATTTGTTCATATATTTTTTTAGGAACTGAAGCTTAGCTGATGAGCCTGTAACTCCAGGCCTGCTTGTTAGCACCACTTTTGTACCAAGCTCAGACCTGCACATCGGACTCCCGGGCTCTGTTCCAACAGACCACTTTAACACATACTTAACTGGAAGAGTGAGACATCTGTGGCTACAGAGGAGATGAGTGACATGATTAATATTACTCATGTGCTGATACATTTTTCTAGTTCTGAAGTATATCAACTAAGCCCCCAAACCAACCCAAACAAGGCATGCTTTAAGGACTATGCTTAGGACTTTAAGAATGCAAATACCAGTAAATATTAAACATTGATCACCATGGATGACTGAACAGCAGAGATCATTCTTTCTTACAGTGTGATCATCTCCAGAACCATGAATTCTTTTGCTATTGTCTTGCTTTATTACCTAGTTTATCTTTCTCAAGTTTCCCTTGTCTTAATATCAGTAACATAATGCCTCCAGGAGATTTTTCAGATTTGTTAGTCCCTTCGTCTACAAAGTTAATGAATTTATCAGATGTCACTCAGTTTAACACAAGCTGCTAGTGATACTTCTAGCAGCAGATTTCTGTGCATTTTTATGCTTCTGGAAGTCAGGATACTGACAGCTGAGGAAAGTTAGATTAATCTCACTCTTAGGTCAACTCTGTTCAGCTTAGTTTAAATCAACAAAGCTATTATACGCTGCACTTCACCTCTCAGCTTCAGGATTACCTGTAGCAATGTCCCAGGATGAAGTAGCATATTGAAAACAGTCTAACATACAGCAGGGTTAGCACACAGCAGCTCATCATCTCCTCAGACTCCAGGAAGCCTTTGCTGTTCTCCAAATCTGGCACTTATCTCAAACAGGGCCCTTTATCAAACAGACCACTTACACCTGCTGGGCTCTCCTCCCCTCTCTACATTGGACTGCCAGTCAAATGACTTCTCTGTTGTTTGCACAGTCACCTGGATCTCTGCTTGGCACCCAGCTCGGATCTATGCTTTGCTCTGCTCAGTTCTCTCAGTTTGGATCACTGCTTGTTATCTGCTTCTGAACACTGGATGTCTTCAGACAATTAGACTTTCTTCCACTGCTCTCCTGGCTAGTTCCATCATTCTTTCCACTCAACCCACTTCTCCAGATCATCAAAGAGACCTCAAAGCGCACTTCTTATCCCAAACTGAATTTATCTTACCAGACAGAGTTGGGGAGGAATTCCAGATACCAGAGCTCTCTTGCAAGCTAATTATTCTTCAAAGAAGTATTAGCAGTCCCTAGGCGCATCTAACTATTGATTTTCTACTCTGTACAATTTCCTTGCAAAATGTAATCGTTCTATTCCTGTCTCGCACTGTCACTTGTCTCTCAAAACAACCTGAGAAAATAAAAATTAAAGTAATAAAGGGCACCAAGAAGGGCACTGTAAAAAAGCAAAACTGAGAACTGTATTTCAAAGTTGTTAAATATCCATCAGCCTGTGTACTCCTTGACTGAAAACCAAGTGTAACTGTTACAAGAATTCAGGCTTGAAGGAAACCAAATGGAGATAGTATTCTAAAGACTCTGGCACTGCAGCTCTCCTCTCTGTATTTCTAGCATAAATGTTGCATGGCTGGGAATGTCATTGCATATATTGGACGTATTGAAAATACCAAATATATAATTCCACTGTGTTTGCTAAAAGCTCCAGCCCACTGCAGGGCACCTTTGATAGTTCTTTGATTCTGCGTGGTGAGCCTGCCTGCTGAGGCACAGGCGGTCTCCAGAGGAGCCAGAACCACTTCTGTTTTGATCGCACCACACAGCAAGGAAGATAAGGGAGAGAACAGGAAGAGCAGGTTGGGCACACAGTGGTACAGCTGTGCCCACGTCCATGCTGACAAAACTCCGTGATGTAATTTAAAGCTGCTCCCTGAGCGGTTTTAACCAGGAGAGGGCTGCTCAAATCCAGTTCAAGAAGCTGCATTTGGGATTCTTGTGCCAACTCCACTATTCCCCTGTAGTACAAGCCTCACAGGATAAAGAATCTATTTTGATTTCTCCTTGCCTAGGACTAAAGCTCTGCAGGACTAGGACTGTGACCTGGTTCTGAGGCTGTATGCCCTGACTTGAGTCTGCTCTAATTGGGTATTGCCAGCCCTTTGTCCTTGGATGTCAAAGGACAGTTCAGGAGAGGAAATTTCAAAGTAGAACAATTACAGTTCATGGTGGGTTATTTTTTTAAACTTTCATCAGAAATTTTCAAATATAGTCCTTCCTATTTCTCATCAGAATCTATATAATGAAAGCTAACAGCCAAAAAGCCTATATGCAACTACAAAAAAGTAGTTGAGCAAATTTACATAAACTCTGTCCCACTGCTGCTGCTGCTAGGCAGAGGAGTTGGTGCTT